CTGACTCTAATTCGTTTACATTCTGTAAACGTTCGAGCGACTTCTGCTAATTTACAGACGACACGATCAGAACCGACAGCCACTACGTGTTGCGACAACGAGCCTTCGATGAATTCTCAAACGATAAGGACCCTGTTGTTAAACAACTACGGAGTCCATATTGTTTATGCGCCGCCGCTGCATAACACCTCCAATGGCCAAGTCGATCGCTTCCATAGCACTCTAACCGAGCTTGCACGTTGCCTCAAGCTGGAGAGAAACATCAGTAACTCAGTCGAAGTCATAAGGCTAGCCACGATTGGGTATAACAAGACAATATATTCGGTCATCAACGAGAGACCTGTTGATGTCGTCTATGTGCCCTCAGGCGAGCCTGAAGGGGAAATATCAGCAAAGTTAAGGAGTCCACAAGATGCGCTCCGGGCTAGGCTGAACGACCGGCGACAGAAAAGAGTCTTTAAAGTAGGCGGAAAAGTACAAGTAAAAAGAAACCGCAGGCTTGGCAATTAACTCACGCCCTTATGTGAAGAACGGATAGTAGAGGCAGACCTTGTCACGACCGTTCTCATTGGAGAGAGGGTGGTCCACAAGGACAACCTTAAATAGGGCGAGAGCTGAAATAAAACATCGATTCTATGAATCTTAAATTTAACTATATGTTTCAACATTTGAGCCACTAGGCTTCACCTTCAAGTTTTAATATTTACGCCACTTGGCATTATCTTAAGAAAGACACCTAGTAATAATTTGGTTCGTTTTGTCTGTCTTCCGCAGGTTCAGGTTTGTACTATTTTTATTTTTTGCAAGTGCGGCAGCGCGTGTGACCAATTACTCACACGCCAAGTATATTCCCATTCAATTTCGTCAGGCACACAGCAAACATCTCTGAGTACGGGAAAATGGTAAACGGAACAATAGAGCTATGTGAAATGTTTCCGCAGTCACACATGAGAAAGCTTATAAGCGTAGATGCGTAGATGATTTCTTCAGCACAGCCCTCAAAGTAGTGCGGGAACACCTGACGCCAGTGACTTCGAGAAGATCAAATTCATTGAGTTACAGTTGGTGAACTCTAACAACAGACAGGTAGCTATCAACACAAAAGTTCAGGAACAAATCAATCAACTCACTACAAGTATCAACACATTACTAAAAGCTGCAAAAATGAATCACATAGATTCCGGGCATTTTTATGAAGCTCATTAAGCTCGGAATAGAATGTTGCTGATGGAAATGCAGAACTTGATGCTCGCTGTAACCCTTGCAAAAATTAATATCATATCAAGGAACCCACAGATATTTCAATAGCTTTTATAATTTAATCCGGCTTTCACTGAGGCAAATCGTCCCAGCGACTTCACTACGGCGTATAGGCCTAATGTTGTATAAATAATAAAAAATAATAAAGTGATCAAAATAAAGTCTTACAACAAAAATCCGCGAGGACTTCTTATTTAAATCTTAATTTATACGAACTCATGTACTTACATATATATGGATACTTTTAATCTGAATCACTCACCTCCGATACATTGCTCAAAAACGCAAAAAGGAATTGTACTAAGTACTATTCCTAGTTTTCAAGTGAGATTCTTTATTTAAGAACATCCAATATTAGGCAGAACGTTGGATCTTGTAGTATTTAATATAACAATAAATCAATAGAACACCCCAATTTGGGACCAACCGACATTATTATTGTGCGATTGCAGAGGTAAATTAAAAATGTCAATAAATGGAATGGATACAAATCGTTACCATTCTTAAAAAACAACATACCGAATTTGAATAGTGCCATAACAAAAGTGCACCGATTACAAACGACACAAAGCTAAAACATGTTAAAATTCTTATAGATTCCTACAATACCATCCGTCGACTCATATGTGACTATGCAACAAAATTAAAAGATTTGCATTTAACACAGACAGTTGATCTATTAAGGACGTGAAGAGAAAATATTAAACGAATTTCGGATAGGCATTAAATAAAAATATTCCATCCAAATTTTCTTAACACTTCAGCGTCATTCGTCATACCATCAAAAACTTAAGCAAATAACTTAGCAGCTAACGACACAATGGCCCAAACAGCTATAGGCAGAAAACTTACAAAACTGCCAAGATGGTTTGAGTATAAAAGGTTTACTGAAGAAGATCTTGAAGCAATAGCTGTCAGTCTAATAAAAACGAAACTAAAATGTCATGCACGAAATTTGAAAAGCGATGGAAATACATTCGCCGAAATAATATCAAAATTATCAAGAACGGTAAAAGGAGAAATGGTTGAAGTACTATCAGCTAAAATCCTTAGCCTGCAGCAAAAAGGCAATGCTGCCAATACCTATACACAAGAAGTTGAGCAACTGACAAAAGCTCTATCAGGTGCTTATATTAATGATGGGTTAAGTTCAGATTTAGCCACCAAATATGGCACAGCCCATGCTATAAAGGTCATGACCAAGAACTGCGCTATAGATAGGATGAAACCTATCATACAGGGAAGCACATTCAATAACATGAATGATGCCATATCCAAATTGGTCGATAGTTGCACAAAAGCAACTGGACAAGCAAACACTGTCCTCTATTACCAATAGAATAATAAGATGCAATAATAACAGAGATAATCCTCGAGGCAGATCATATAGAGGCGGCTCAAACAAAGACCACAAACTGCAATACCAGATCTGAGTTAACGAGGTAACCAGCAAACCCCCTTGAGCAACCAACAGTAAAATTACTGAATATTAACCTAATTCTAAGTAGTCTCAATAAAGTAAATAATGGAAGAAATAATATTCCCTTAACTTTGCAAGTAGACACAGGAGCAAAGTTTCAGTCCTAAGGTATAATACCATAAATTCAAATATTAATCAAAATTACAGAAATCAAAAAAACAAAAATAATACAGGAATCGAACAGGGAATAATAGAGTCGATTGGACAATCCACAAATGATATACTTCTCGATTACTTCGAAATCAGTCACAATTTCCATATAGTCCACAATGAATTTCCGATACCATGCGACGGAATAAAATTGTATACTAGATTAGCCCTGAGGCAATAATAGCAAACAGTATCGTAACAAATAATAGTGCTACAGTCCGAATTTTAAATAAAATAGTAATTATATAAAAATTCCGAATCACAAAATAAAATTCGAGCCACTACAAACATAAAAAATAAAAATAAATAACGGCAATATCAGCAATATAGCAAATGAAGTCATAAATAAATTAAAATTCCCTGACCAATTTAAAAACAAGTTACTGACTTATATACCAAATATTATTTCATTTTGGTCTAGAAACAGAAGCAATTTCAAGTAATAATTTGAATAAGCAAAAATTAAGGTTAGCAGACAAAACACCCATATATATTAAAAGCAACAGATTTACAGAAACAGAAAAACAAGAAATTAACAGACAAGTCGAAAAAATAACAAGCAATTGTATAGTAGAACCAAAGACAATATAAACACTAAGATGAGTAACGCCCATACATTTGAATGCGACGCAAAATTTCTAGCCTGGCCTTTCATCTGGCCTTTGAGGCTTCGTACGGCATGCCTGCCGACTGGTTGTTCGTTCTCCAAAGACCAGACGAACGAATGCCGAAGTCGTGGCTTGCTGATGCTGACACGAGCTACGAAGTTAGTCGCCAGCCTGCCTTCAGCAAAGTTGGTCGATGCTGCCTTGCGTCGCTTCGTTTTCGAAGTACATTGAGCGAAAAAGTGTATAACTTACGATCGACGCGAAGTGCTTGTGCTTTATCCATGATATGCATGCTTTATTTAAATGATATATTACCCTAGATATTAACAATTAATTTTACAGGAAAATTTAAGAACTTATATAATTTTTACACAAGGCGCTTCTTGCGCAATAACTAATAAAAATAGCACATATAGAATGATTTTACTTTTCTTTTTTGACAGTGTATGCTCGAGAAAAGTTCTTGTCTCAGCCAATAGCGTGCGTGCACCTTTCGTTGTATGCGTGAATTATACATGCATAAGATCTTTAAAGTATGTATGTATGTGTTGTTATTCACTGCTCTGGCTTTAGCTGGCAAGAAATTGATTTTGTTAGTTTTCTAGCGCAAATCATGACCTATCCCAAATTTGTGTTGATATATGAATGCATTTTGTGTACTGAGGTTGGCTTCGCAGAAAATACCCGAGGGTCATATTTAGTTATGACCCCATTATAATTATAATGGTCTCCTCGCGGTGTTCCCTGCGTACTTTGTTCTTTATAATTCGAACAACAAAAATAATAAAATAAAAAAAAAATAATTAAATGTATCTTTGAAAAAATAATAATTTAATTAATAATTTCAAATATTAAGAATTACATAAATATTTGCATCGACTTAAAAATACAAATTTTTTGGTACGGAGTACACAAAATGCATTCATATATCAACAGAAATTTTGGGTAGGTCGTGATCTGCGCTAAAAAACTAAGAAAATGAATTTCTTTGCCAGCCAAAGACTTTGCCAGAGCAGTGGATAACAACACATTCAAATATGCTGTTATGTATGTATATTCACACGCATACAAACACAATTACTTGCACGGCCCTCATAGAGCCGAAGCTGAGAGCAAATTCTATTTGTAGCTTTTTCGTTCTCTCGGCTGTGAGAGCGCAATGCTACAGATTTCGTTTTCGTTCTCAATTTTCAAAAAATCAAGCTGCATAGTAGCATTTTATTATATGGCGTTACTCATCTTAGTGTTTATGTTGTCTTTGCACTAACCAACTAACAACATGTATTGTTTGGTTAGTGCCGCTATCAATAAGTAATAGCCATTGGCTATAATTAATAAAAAGAACAGTACAATCATAAAAATAATCATTTAATTAATATAACATTGCATCTGTATAATATTAATTGTATGATTAATTGTACTTTTTTAGTATTTTTGTGCGTAGGGAACAGTTTGAAGCCCACAGCTGCGAGCCCTGTTGGATAAACTCTTGCTCTTACTTATTTTTTCTTAAATATTATTTTATTAAAAAAAAAAGCTGAGGCCATCCTGAGGTGGTGGCCAATCCGCTTCTCTGGTGACCTTAATCTCGCCGGGCTTCTCTGCCGCACTTCCCGTTTAGTGGCACTCCTAGTCCGATAGCACTATTGAATTTAATAAAATATATTTATATATTTTGATATGAATTATTCCTTTAAAGTTTCTTTTGTTAACTGATTTATTTTATTTTTGTAAATTACCACGTATTATTATTATTTTTTATATATTTATATATCCAGCTTGGCTCTGGTTTTTCTTTATTAAATCCCTTGATACCCCTGAATGCTGCGATTCCTTTTGCTTTTTCACTGCTCATTTCAAGTTCGCAATCGAATCAACAATGTATTGTTTTGTTGTGGAATTATTAATTAATTATTGATGCCCGTACCGAACCGTATTATCTGTGTAATAATTTACAGACTAAAAAGTATTAGGACTTGTTTCTTTTTGACTAAACCGATTGCGCAGCTTGCTTTTGATGCAGAGTAGAGCGAGCGATTCTTTAAAGCCTATCACTTTGTTTGACTCCGGTAAAATATTTTTGTTGTCCTTTTGAGTTGTTATTGCAATGCCATAACCTAAAGTTTCACACATGCCGCCATTAGTTGTGTTTCGCTCAATTCCTTCTTGTTGAAACATCTTCTGGACCACATCTGCAGTTAATATTGGAGGTTTGTTCATATTGTACATATAAAATTTAAATTAAAATTGGCCAAACAAATATTCTGTGTCTAAAATTTAATAATTTAAGAAATTGATCTTGTAGACAGCTCTGGCATAGCCAATTCATTATCAACGAAATGTTAAGCACTAACGTATTTAATATAAGTATGAATTACTAAAAATAAGCTTACAAATTCGTTGTCCAAGTATAACAAATTTTAATAAAACAGAAAATAATCCTGAAAGGAGTAAAAGGGTTTTTATATCAAATGCTCATGTGCAAGGTTGTAATATCTTACGACTAGATTAAAAACTAGTTTTGTAAATTTGTTAATCAAAATAGACAGAACTGAAACTGCTTATAGACACCATATGAATATGTTTGTAAAAACTACAAACAGCACGTTTTTTAATGATAGTCCACTTTTGATAGCCTGATCAAATTAGAAATGGGTTTTTGAGCACATGTATTCTTGATCAGCATTAACAGTCGAGTCAATCTAGCTATGCCGTCCGTCCGTATGTATGACCGCAAGGATATTAGAACCTATAGGAACTGGAGACTTGAAACTACCTGAAGGTCCTCCTAGTGCCCGCGCAGATCGAGTTTGTTTCCGTTATTCGATAGTTTGCCCCGCTTCCAAGTAATCGATAAAAATCGATATCGAAATCCGGTTGTTTTGGGCAATTTTTGTAAATAATAAGAGCTAGAGTCACCAAACTGAACATGTAGTTTTTAGAAAAGTATATACTTATATTTGCATTTGGTGTTGGAAGGGTTTCCGGTCGGGAGCTCCCGACTATAACCTCTTACATGTTTTTTTTTTTTTTGCAAATTCCGATATAATATGCTGCATCCCAATCAACCGACCGATGGGTTCAGTCGTACTTGCTACATAGTTCATTATAGACGACTTTACAAGGCATAGTTATTTGAACAAAATTGCAGTGATAAAGGTGTTTAATTACGTCTACAAGGGACCAAAAAGTTTAGTTGGCTAGTCAACCCCGATTACGGATAGCTTTGAAATACCCTTATAGTTTTCGACATCAGATTATAGAAAGTTAATAGAAAGGAATAATAATCTTATCTTTCTAATTGGTCGGGGAAGATAAAGTCCTTACAGACAATACTAAAAGTTTTAAAATTGGTTTACATAGTTCTGAAGTACAGTACCTTAGAACACAGGCAGACATGAAATTTGACCAATGTAACTGATGACGATATGACAAATTTTTATTATACCTCGAAGAGAAATAGTTAGTTTGAAAAAAGTTTTCTAACAGATCGGCAATGCCTTTATCAGTATTTGCACTCCCATCTGCAAACTTAATCGAAGATGCCATAATAGACGACTTACGTGTAGAGTTAAAAAAGTTGAAAAGTTGCAAAGCATTACTTGAAGGCGACGACGGCTATAGTAATCCTTATAGAATTTTGAATTTTGGGTAGATAAGAGGGATATCTCGATATCTTAAATTTTGTATTACATCTGGATTTCACATTTTTAAGTTTCCTTGAGCATATTAGACCTCGCTGGCTATTTAAGGGGGACGCAGATATCAAAGAGCGAGTACAGAGTATCATAAAATAGTTTACCGATACATCAATGTTTGCGCAATTTTACAGTTGGTACCAATGGACTTGGAGAATAAAATCGTTAAACTTATGAATATCAGCCATACGAAAACAACGGATACGACCTTATTTCAATTCTTTGATAAGCACTCGAGCTGGTAAATCAATTTTCAAATCCAAAGTTAGATGAAAGGGGTATCCAGGAAGTAAAAGCAAGTCAAACCTGTGCACAACACTGTCAAACGAATGCTACATGAAGATCAAATAAGGAGATCTATCTCTTAAGTTACGGACCCGAGTTACCTGCAGCAAGGACATTACATGTGATTTAGAGGGAAACAGAAAGATTGAATCTATAAAGATGGCCAATTAACACCTAGAAGTTTATAGTTGCCAGGAACAACCAAAAGTTCATTATCAAAAAGTAGTGAGGATATAGATTAAATAGTGTTAAGATGGCTTAGGAAAAATTTATGTTAGATATTGGAGAAATATAGGAACATGAAATAAAAACTACCAAATGCCATTTATACCCACAAAAAATCGATCTTTGAAATGTGAAGCTCAATGAGCGCCGACGATAGAGTAGACTTTACAGAATTGAGTACTACTCCACCGATACGGGAAGCTCGATCACACCTGTAAGTTGTTTACTTGGAATCCATAAAAGAAGAATTCTTGATTTTGAGGACTGTAAGACGGTCGCTGAGTATGTTACAGAAGCCTCCGCTGTGAACGAATGTGACTCATCGGTGAACACTACCTTTCGCAGGAGATCGCAGACACCAATTTGTGCTGAATAACCGGGTCATTTGAACAACTAGATGTAACAAATATGAAGCTTGGTGAAAAAAATATGGTAGCCCAAGTCAATATTACGAAACATCAGGAACGATCAAGTCTATCTTTCATCAACAACCTGCGCGTGAAGAATCTGCGATACTTTTTTTTCCAACGGAGCAACCAGGCTTAAATAAGGTTGAAAACTAGTTGGTTGCTTTTAAAGAAAGGAATAAAGCAGCTTCGGGCTGATCGGTTTTGTATTATTCGACAACTACAGAGGCGGCAGCTACGGAGGCGAAAAGAGCCGAATTCGCTCCCAGAGCGAGTGACAAAGCTTTATTGAACTCTCGCTCCTCCCCAAACCTAATTTAACTAGACTTTAACTTTTTAATCAATTTTATCATTGAATGGGCAGATATTCGCCTTCATGAAGCGCTTCGGGGGCTTGATTCGACAGATAGTCGTGCCAACTTGTGGAGCGGTCTTTTGAAAGTTGCGCAACTGGCCGTGCTCAGTTCTGCCACCATAACAACGCCGGTCTCTTCTGTGTGCACCGTCATCACTGTCTCCACCAATGTGGAACAGAATACTGATATAAATATATATGTATTTGTACGTATGAAAGACAAATTTTAATTGTTGTATCATATGATTATGTTTAATATCGCTTACCGCTCTCTGCTTAGAAAGAGTTTTTATACCCTGAACCTATTAAAAATGGGTATAGGGGTATATTGTATTTGTGCAAAAATGATCAGCACCAACAGCCGAGTCGATCTAGCCATGTCCGTCTGTATGTCTGTCCGTCTGCCGGTCCGTCCGTGTGTCCGTATGTATGAACGCAAGGATCTCAGAACCTATAAGAGATAGAGACATGCAATTTTAGATGTTAGGTGCTCCTAGTGCCTGCGCTGATCGAGTTTGTTTCCGATAATCGATAGCTTACTCCGTTTCCAAGGAATCGATAAAAATCGATATCTACATCCTGTTTTTTTTAAACAAAATGGGTAAATAATAAGAGAGATTGTAAGCTTAAAACTTTTCGCTCAATCTACCCCGAAAATGATCCGACGCTAAGTACCATCGACCAGCTTTGCTGAATGCAGGATGTCGACTAACTTCGCTGCTCGGTCAGTATCAACAAGCTGCAACTTCGGCATTATTTGTGTGGTTTCATCTTAGTGTTTATATTGCCTTTTCCCGCTTCCACCAACACAAAATGCAGCTTGCTCCACGCTCGTTTACTTTAGCAATTATAAATATTAAATTAAAAAAAATAGTTGTCAAGCTCGTAACAGACCGCCGCCTCTTCTCTACTCAACGGCAATACCTGAAACTTTCAACAGTAGATCTTAGTGTGCTATAGAATATTTGTTTATTTTCAAAGTCTATTGCATTAAACTTGTGGTTTAAATTGGAAGGCTTATTTAATTGTTACTTGTTTATTTACTTGTTACTTATTCTATTTTAGAAGCTATATGTCAAGTTTGGTGACTGTAGCTCTTACGAAATGAAGTATGCTATAATATCCTGAGACTCATGGTTCTACCAAAGACAACATAAACACTAAGATGAGTAACGCCATATAATAAAATGCTACTATGCAGCTTGATTTTTTGAAAATTGAGAACGAAAACGAAATCTGTAGCATTGCGCTCTCACAGCCGAGAGAACGAAAAAGCTACAAATAGAATTTGCTCTCAGCTTCGGCTCTATGAGGGCCGTGCAAGTAATTATGTTTGTATGCGTGTGAATATACATACAAGTTAATTCCAAAGTTTATTAAACGATGAAAAAAAAATATAATTTTTAGGGAAGCAAGACTTCCTTTATTTGATGTTAATTTGCAACTGAATAAACTTAAATCAATTCTAGCCCTAGTAACCTGTGGCTTAGCGGCAGCGGCGTTGGCAGCGGCGTCGCTGCTGATGTTGTTGGCCCGTTGGGCAATTCTTCTTGGAATTTTCGGCGGTTGCCAGTCGGCGCGTGGAGGAAATGGCACAGACACCAAGTCAGCATTTTGGTGCACTTCTTATGAGGTGTTGCAATGCTTCTTATTGGGACTGTATGAATTTATTTGTTGTTAACTCTTCCCCCTTTGATTTAAGCTTGTCCTCAAGCGATCATCAGAAGAAAGGTATGTTGTTGAACCTGAGGTTGTTGGCATCTGTATTTTGTATTTGGATATGTGTTGGTTCTTTTTTGGGTCTCTCTTTTTCCTTGTTCAGTTGCAGTATTATATTTTTCTTATTTTTCTTCATTACGTGTAATACACAGGTAAGAAGGATGGCAACTGTGAACAGAGTTATGAAACCGACTCTATTTGCTATAGAGTGCGTCTGAAGTTTTTGCATGTTTTTATGTTGTTGATGTGCAATTCTTCTAATGCTTCCAGAGAAAGAATCTTTATTCTTTCGTTTTCTATTGGGGTTATTTGTATTGTGGGATTTCCTGGGGTCATGACGGTGACCTCTAGGTTGCTGAACCCTTGTTTGTTGATGAATAAGGTTTCGTTCCAGAAGTTAATCATGTAGGTACCTCTCACGCGTTTCTTCTCTTCTTGCCATCTAATAGTGCCGTTGAAGTCGTTTACTAGTATAAGTCCCTCGTCGATTTCCTCGATCTCCGGGATATGATCTGCATTGCTAAAGCCACAGAGCGCTTGCTCTCCGCTAACTAACTTAGGTATACAATTATTATTGTTCAAATTTAAAATTTTTGATTTGTTACAAATTTTAATATTATGATATCT